CTGCAAAAAATATTTTTAACATCTGTTTCCGTTTCTGCTTCCGATATGATGCTTCCGTTGCATCACTAATCCATATGGACGATCCTAGGAGTACCTCTTGCGTTTTTCTGTATCCGGTAGGTTACGTCGTTGACCCTGGTCACAATCTGGTACGGGCCATCCCATTTAGCTTGAAGGTTAGGAGATTTCCCTTTGCTGCGGACGGGATTATGCAACCACACTAGTGAACTTTCGTCGAACCCTTTGTTGTTCATTTTGTGGTTATACCGGGTTTTCATCTTTTCGGACATTTGCTGGCCCGGTTGTCCGACGTGCTCATAAATATTATTCATTTTGTTCTGCAAGTAATTTGCATAATCGGTTATACTGCGTGAGGCATCAGGTGTTATCCCGGTGATTAGGTCTGCAGGTAGCCGTAATTCTCTTCCAAAGTTTGCGAAAGCAGGTGTCACTGATGTACTTTCGTGAACAGCGCTTCGATATGACAACAAAAACGGTTGTATGTGCTTGTCCCAATGTCGTTGCCGATTGTCTACAACTTTTGCTAGGTACCTCTCCAATGTCTTATTAAATCGTTCCACTATTCCAACAGATTGCGGGTGATAAGAAGTCGTTCTTGTTTTGTGAGTACCCATAACTCGGCAAGTTTCCTTGAATATTTGAGACTCAAAATTCCTTCCTTGATCGCTGTGAATCTCTAAAGGTACTCCAAAATGATAGAAGACTTCATGGACTAGTTTATCTGCAAGCTTCTTGATTTGGAATGGCGAAGACTTCTGGCCACTTAGTGAAGTAATCCATCACAACCATGAAATACTTGTTACCACTTTTACTTTCCGGAAACGGCCCCGCCACGTCAATGGCTTTTCTCTCCCATGGCGCACCAACATTTTACAACTTCAATGCACCTCTACTACGAGTCTGAGGTACCTTTACAGCAGCACAACTTGTACATTTCCGACACCAGTCCTCGACATCGTTTCGACAGTGGACCCAGTAAAACCGTTCTTCAGTAGAGTTATAACTCCCAGATGGCCTCCTGAACAATCATTATGGTACAGCTGTAGAACATCCGGTACTTTAGCTTTAGGTACAACCATTTGTAGATGACAGCTGTCTTCCCGACCATTTTCCCATTTAAGGCACAGAACTCCATCCTAAAGCAGTAAGCTGTCCCATTGGGCCCAATAGCTTTTAGTGGTCGAACTCATCGTTGAGACGTCGCTCCACTTGGGCTTGGGAGCACTGGCCTTCATCCATTCCAGAATCGGCTTGATGTCCGGATTTTCCTGCTGTGCATGTTGTAAGCTGTCCTTCCACTCGTTGGTGAGATGGTCTGTCTTGAGCATCCTCACAGATACCACTTCCTTACTCTCTTGTCTAGTACAATGCTTGCAATCTTCTTAACAAGGTCTTCTTAACAATGCATCTGCGTTGCCATGAGATTTCCCGCTGCGATGTCCGATAGTAAAGTCGTATTCCTGCTGCTGCTTGGCGGTGCTGTAAGCCGCACTACCCTCTCGAGATCGATCGCTTTCCCTTTTTATAGATCGCTTAGGGCAGCTGGGTCGAAGATGGCTCCTTTCCCCACAGCCGTAGTACCTTGGGCTTTTACTTTTATTATGGTCGCGAACTGTAGCTGCTGCAAATTCCCTTACGTGAGGGGAACGATGATCTTGCCGCTGCAGGACGGTGCCGTTAGCCGCACTACCCCTTCCAGATCGATCACTTTCTCTTTCTACAGTTCGCTTAGGGCAGCTGGATCGAAGATGGCCCCTTTCCCCACAGCCATAGCACCTAGGGCTGTATCCTTTATTGTGGTCGCGAACTGTAGCTGTTGCAATCTCCCTGACACGATGGGAACGATGATCCTGCCGCACGGTTTCCACCTCCAGTGCATGGGCCAAGACATCCTTAAGCGTCTTGTGGTGCCCGAACCTCACAGCAGCTCTGACTTCAAGGTCGCGGATGCCGTCGATGAATGACTGCACCAGGTTCCCTTCAATGAGCGCAGGTAAAGACCGGTATACATTTCGCACCAGCTTTTCCACCACAAGAGCCCACTGTTGCAGGTTTTCGTTAATGCGTGGTACACGATCTTTAAGCTGAGCACGAAAGAAGTGTTCCAGGTGAGCGTCGCTCCATATCCATATCTCCATATCTCGCCTCTAATGTCTCAAGGAGTTACCCATAAGTCACATCCTCACCGAGAGCTTCCAGAACAGTTAAGGCCTGATCGCACAGGCCTAGTGTGAGAGCAGTCATGGCCTGACTTTTATTCCAGCCGTTCGCCCGTCCCGTCGAACGGTGGCACTTTGAACCTAAGCAGCGAAGGTGTAGTAGCTACTACGGGAGCTGTAGTGCCATCCCCAAGTTTGAGTTCATCTAGTGATTTCTTCATGTCAGCCATTACGTTGTCAACTCGATTATTTACTTGGTCGATTCGCGTTTCAGCTTCCGACAGGCGGTTGTCATGTTGAGCAACCTTATCCTTCATCTCCCGTATCTCTTTCCCGAAGGCAGCGTGGATGTCCTCCGTGAGGAGCATCTGCTCTTCCTTATCGCGTTTGAACTACTCTTCCGAACGACGGGCCTGTTCCTCCTGTCAGCGGGCCTGTTCCTCCTTTTGGCGGGCCTGTTCCTCCTGTCGATGGTCCTGTTCCTCCTTTCCGTGCTGCAGCTACTCTTCCAACCGACGGGCCTGCTCCTCCTGCTGCTCTTTCAACAGACGGGCCTGTTCATCTCGTCTGCGCTGCAGCTGCTCTTTCAACCGATGGGCTTGCTCCTGCAGCATCACTATCAGAGCACCTAAGTCAGGTGCTGCAGATGCAGGAGCTACTTACGGGCCGGTCTCCGTGGCCAGTGGCTGGCCCTCCGACGTCTGCAGCGTTGCACTACCAAATCGTCTTTGGTCCGTCTCCTGCTGGCGTTGACTTCGGGTACGGACACCCTCTATTTCGTCCTTAGATAAAATAGGCATGATTTTATAACTTTTGACACTAATTGTTACAAGCTTAGGGTTCGTGACAATAAAAACTGCCGATTGAATTACCAAAATTGACACTTTAATTACTGCACACTAATTAAAACTTAACACACACTAATAATTAATCACACTGATCACTTTAGTTCAGTTTATTTCGCTCCGAAGCTTTGCTTGTATCGCCAATTTAATACTGCCCCGGTCGCGGCCTTTAAAGGCCTTAAATAGGCCTTTTTAAATAAAATTAAAAATGATCGTAAAATTTTCTCGATAGAAAAAAATCCAAGTTACCTCCAAAATAAACAATAAACCGCTGTTATTCGTAAAATATTTTAAATAAGATCATGAAACTTTGCATACTAACTGAACTAACTATAAAGCAGTGCTTATGTTATTTACTTTTTTTTAATACCATTATATTCACTGTAAAAAGAAATTACCTAAACTATCGGCGTAATGAAACTTGATTCCTGCCGCCCGGTCAGTTTCCTGTGTCAGTTTCGCTCCGGCCTTTGAAGGAGGTGGTTGTGTCGCTTACGATCAGAATACACATTACGCAACAGGACGACGTAAAATTAAAATGGGAAATAACCGTAATAAAAATAAGAAGCGACTGAGTTGGCGTTAAGTTATATATATGCGTATAGGCATAAATATGATAAACTTAATGAAATAAGTATCCAACGACCTATGTAATCACTAATACTTACAGTATTAGTGATTTACAAACATGTCGGTACATAGCATACGACGCGCACGGAAGTGGGGGCGAAATTAGAATTTGAGCTGACTTACTATATCCCCTTAATGTTCCGTGTCACTGATTAAGAGAACTAGCTAACGCGGTGTGTTGTTTCAAAATTTTTTCAAGTTGTCATTACGATTATTGAGTTTTATACCGAATTTTATTGAAAAGGCATCATGGAAGACGAATTCGTAAAAGCAGAAAATACTAATCTACCAAGGATAAATAAATTGATGATGGCAAATTTTTTACATGCAATCCACTGATCTCTATATATACAACGTACTTACGTACTATATATAGGGATCAGTGATGCAATCCCAATTTTCGTTCTCCTGAGTCGAGGAATGTTAAAAGGTCAGTGTTAGTACCTATTACCAACTTTTACTTATACAAAAACACAATACCAGGTCAGAGTGTATTTTGATAAAACATAGTTTAGTAGCTATCATAGTTTAGTTTATCTATAATTACAATCATTAGCAATAACTAGTTAGATTATAAGTTAACGTAATTTATTACTAAACTTGACTTGCGATACCCTTTACCTCATGATGTTTTGTTTTGTGTTAAACGATCGTTAAATATAAGTCATACTTACATCAAAATGATCTTCACAGAAGAATAGTGTAGTTATTGTAGACAATGTATTCGGGTATCTTGCCGGTTTTAACCAAGTATTTCTTATATTTAAATATTTGGCACTTGAATCCATAACTTTCCCGGTCTTCTTATGCTCGTACATTTGCATTCAGGGACAACAGAACAATGATTTAGATGATAACTCATTAAACATTAAAACAATTAAACATTAAGAAGTATCTTATTCCTTTGCAAAATCTTCAAAATCGAGGACAGTGATGTCACGAGTTAATCGGCATAGCGGCTGGCGTTCTTACGCGAAAATTTAAAACGATAGATTAAAAGTAATTTTTATGGCACTATTAGGTTAAAAAAAATTATATAAAAATTATAGTGGTTCATTATCACTCTAGGATTCATAAACAATTTTTGAAAATGGGTGTAATACCCTATTTAATATCTGTTTTCAATTAAGAATACACTTATCCACAATCAAACAGGCATTGAACTGGATCGGGATCCATCGTCTGATCCAGGAGACCCCGAATTGGTGCCCGTCCAGCCCTATATAAGAAGTGAAGGAAGAAATGCTCGTTATATTTTATAATAACTAATTTAATGATAAATAAACAAAAAAATATTTTGGAATAGAAACACATATTAACTAAATTTAACTTAGCCGTTAACGATTTATTTAACTGTTGCCTCTTGTTCAGTGTTTACGTTTTCTTGAATCGTTTGTTGTGGCATATTACTTTCGTTATTTTCTTCTATTATATTATGAGGTTCCACGTAATCTTGTTCACTGTCTAATTGTCGTTCAATTTGTTTTTCAGAGTTATAATCCGTTTGCTCATATTGTAGTTGATTATAGTCTTGCTGATTTATATAATCTTCAGTTCCATATTGTTCGACGGATTCATTTTGTGGTGGATTTTGATCATAGTTTCCGTATTGGTCTTCGTAATGGGGATCGTATTGTTCAGTGGATTCTTCGTGTTCATCTATTTCCCGAGGGTAAGTTTGTTCTTGTGAATCTCCTTCATAATAAGCATAGTTTTCATTTTGATTGTATTTCTCATTATTTGCGTAGTCTATGTCAGCGTTGTCGTTTGTGCCAGTTTGATCATACGTATAGTCATTATCTCTTTGTTCCGTATAAAACATTTCTTGTTGTTCGGCTTCATATTCTTGAACTTGATTTTCATCAAAAGTATTTTCAATATTTTGTTCACACTTTTCTGGTTGTTCGTATTGTTGAACTAAATCAATAGGCTCAATAAATTCAATATCAGTTGATATCTTAGTATCATTTTGATTGTTTCTATCTTGACTCACATCATAACTTCCTTCTTTTAAATTTGAAACCTCTTGTAACACTTCTTCATTTAACAGAAGTTCATTATGATTGTTTACAGAAGTATTATCCGTAATTTTTGTTTGCTCTAGATTTATATCTGAAGGTGGTTCATGTAGTGCGTTGTATATGTTACTTGATTCTGTTGCAACCGTATCACTATTTTCACTCTTACTGTATATATTTTGTTTTTCAATATTTTCTTCATTCATTACATTTGTTTCATACGGCTGAGGTTTCTCAGTTTTCGGTAATGCTTGCGTAGCTTCTTGATTATCAATATTGATGTTTCGTTTTTGATTATTATATTCAATTTCTTTAGTAGATCCGTATTCCTCTTTCGGTTTTAGTAGTATTTCATAATCGTTTTGTATTTTTTCCTTCTCAGTTAATTCTACCGCAGCTACGCGACTATCCATTGCATTACAATTTTCATTCCTTAAAACTTTACTTATGTCTGTATTTTCTTTTATCGGAGACTCTGCTTGACATTCTTCAATGTTATTAGAATATTCTTTTTCCATTAGCGTTTTTGTTGTGGAAACATGATTTTCGTTGTATATATTGTTTTTAAAATCGTTTTTACAATCATCGTCGTTAATTTTTACCTCTTTTATTTTTTCTTTCGGTTCTAAATTATTTTTAATTCTAGAGGTGAGTTCATTAGCCACAATTGCTTCAGTTCTCGGTTCTTCTTCTTTCTCGCTCTTCTTTAATTCCTCTAGAATGTTGTATTTACTTTTCCAATCGTTGTTATCATCAATATTAGATTTCATAGATAAATTGTTATCATATTCAATCATATTTGTGTATCTCGGAATTAGTATATATTTTTTGCTTATTTCTTTTAATAAAGCCGCTTCATTTAAAGATCCTCCTTGCACGCTTGGAGATGTTTGTTGATTTAACACTCGTGATCTTGATTTATCGTATGAGGGTAAAGTTCTTCGTATATATGTTTTACGGTCATACTGTGTTTGTTGGTCGAAATCACTTAAGGAATTAGCCTAAAAATTGAGTAAATTATTTTAGAAGCGATAGTTTAAGCTTTATCTACATAATAATAACACATTATTATAGTACGTGAGGGAAATAATATGGTCATGTGGTTAATATGGTCACTTTCCTATAACTCAAAAACTACAGCTTTATTGCATGGCTCTGTGATACGACAGCTCTTCATCAGTCAATAAAATAATAAAGCGTCAAAAGCGCGCTCATTTATTGACTCCATTTTGACAGTTGAGATTATAGTAAATATTTTAGTCGATTTTAGTATTGTGTAGTGAAGTTAATTTTTTTAAGTTGAATTTTGAAGTGTTCCCAATTATTGCCAAAGCTTGTTTGCAATTTTTTTTCTTAATATATTAGTTTTAGTATCAAACGTTGTTTTAGTGTCTGTTCTCCTCCTAGTTTTGGTTTTATAGAGTGGCAAATCTTAAGGTGACCATATTACCTTCACGTACTTAATAATAACTTTTATTATCATTAATTAATGTCACAAACGATCTAGAGATACTCTATATTTTAAGATGCTGACAGATGATGACTCACAGCATGTAATTCGATAAAGTATAAAACTAGTTTGCAAGTTAATTTATAAATGTTTATAAAATCTAGAGATGTGGTGAATCCATTGAGTTATACAAAACTAGAGGAGCAAACCACATTACCGCGCGTCGAAAAAAGTGTAACCACAATCCAACTGCGACGACGTAGCTTGAAATTACTAAACATTTTAAATAAACATATATCTATCTTACTTACAAAAGTTGCGAAAACAATACCTTCGCTAAGATAAAGATAGAAACACAAACATGCAATGGCAGGTTGGTATGGCTTACTATATGAAATTTTACCCAAAATACGCAATAAAAATAGCTTTTTTTATTTATTATGTTTTTGTGACCTTGAATCGCATTTTTTCAATACGCATTTAAACATTTTTTTGCCGCGGCTCAACTCTGTTGGCATCACATATATGTCATATGTGCAGTGGCAACGCTTTGGCGCGGTAATTACTAATCTATTGAAATATATAAATCAATAGGTGGATGAGATTCTAAACGCTTGTCGATACTTGAAAAAGCTGCAGTTATTTGTTTTCACATTAAAAAAGTATATTTTATTTTAAAATCTTTATTGCATCCGCTTAGAAAAAAAAAGGATACAAAGCTTATCAGATGAATAGAAGTAAGCGTAATGATGAAATAAAATATATTTTTATAAGTATTGTACTAATAAATCAAACAATATAAAATAGGTAATAAAATATAATTAATATAAAATATAAAATTTATATGAAATTGTAATTAATATAAATTATTAATATAAAATAGTTAGTAAAATATATTTGATAGATCATTTATGAACAAATTAAAAGTACCTGGATAACCGAGCTTTACTCGGTATTTTCTTTAGAAATCGTATGTTTTGGAAATTATATTTAGATACAAATTACATACTGATGAAAATTATAATAAATGCATAAATAAATTTTTTTGATCTTATTGACATAATAGAAAAAACTGAACTGGTTATTTGAATAAAAAACCATGAGTGCAAATAGTTTGATTTAAATTTTGGTTTTTCTAAAAAATACTTAAAAAAGGGCTCGAAATAATAGATTTTCTCACAAAAGAAGGGAAATTGAAAAAAAAAAAGGAAAAAAGTTTGACCGAAGACAAGACGTGAACTAGGGCACCTCGATTTCGCGACTGCCGGATATCCCACATGAGCTATTACGATCAGTAATATACTGCCAAAATTTACCTTCTTATATTGTAGCAGGTTTTCATTGCCTAAAAACACGCACAAAACGACATTTTCTAAAAATGAATACTAGCTAGATCGATTTATTGCCCCCGAAACCACCTGGACACTAAATTTTATGAAAATCGTTGGAGCCCTTTCCGAGATTCCAATATTATATATATATATACAAGAATTGCTCGTTTAAAGGTATAGGATAGGATAAGAATAATTCATTATTTTGTATGAAAGTTGAAACGTAGTTTTTATTATATTTTGGAAATATATTTATTATATTTCCAAAATATTTAAAATCAGAGGTATCAAATTAACTTACTCCATTAAATATATAATCTCCCATTAATTTGGGATAATCACAAAGGCGGAAAAGTGGCAACATTGAACCTAAATCGCAATATTCGATAATTTTATTTAATTATTTATATGAAAGTTTGTATGAAAACAAGTACTAAAAGTTATGTGTTGAAAGTAGTTCCGCTTGATTTATTATGTTTAGTATTTTTTCAATACGTATTTAACCATTTTTTGCCGCGGCTCAACTCTTTCGGCGTCACATTGAACATTGAACTGACGTTAGCTAGGCATGTGGCTGTGGCCATATGTGCAGTGGCAACGCTTTGGCGCGGTAATTACTAATCTATTGAAATATATAAATCATTAGGTGGATCAGATGCTAAACGCTTGCCGATAGTTGAAAGACGAGAAGGAACGCGGGTTCGATTCCCGCTGGCACAAAACGAATATTAATAGTAATTATATTGATTGCTTATTTACCATGAGCTTGACGGTCAAGGAAACCACGCGTGAAAACCTGCTCTTCTGAAAAATTAAAAAAAATATTTCGAAGGCATTTGAAGAGACCGCATTTGAAATATCCCAGTAAAACATGTACAACATACGCTGTTAGTTTGCGAGTGCGTAGAGTGTAGAACACATCAGAAGCGCCTTCATAAAAGAGAAATTCTTTGGAACTTCTTCCAGTGGAATTAATCATATATGTCCATTACGAAATTCTTCGTAAGACGTTAAAGAGATGAACATCGGTTAGCAATGTTTGAAATACCTTGTCCGAAGAGCTGGAGAAAATTTGCGATTTGCTTTGTATTACATAAAATAATGAAGAGTCGCACTGTTTGTTGTAAACTACTACTGCGACGAAGTATTATTAATTATTCTGTGCTACTACATAGTTTCTCCTTAACACTATAATCTCCCTTGTCAAACAACGAAGAGAGAGCGCTGCCACAGGATCTGCCTTTAATTCACTCTATGATGTGTTGCTATTCTCGATGTTTAACGTTTGTTAATATCCTTAATTGTCCGTGTATTCTTTTTGATATCTTTAATATAACGGATTTCCTCAAAGTAACGCCTGATTCTGTTTATTAGGTACCTACTTAGTTTCACTTTGTCGCCCCCTTACGTCACTCACGGGGTGATAATGAGGTAGTCAATTCTTTCACGTCGCCAATATAACGATGTAAACGTTACAATGATTATGTTATGTAAAAAATTACAAAAATAAATGAAGTTATTGTTTGTGCTTCTAACTTTAAAATCTTAAAAAATCTTGAGCCGAAGCCCGATTTTTTTTTTGTTTATTTGTTCCGCTGATAGGAGAAGGATACGAAGTTTTTTTTTAAATGCACAAATACACAATATACAATACAGACTGTTATGATATATCTATCATATTTATACACTAAGAAAAATAAAAACACCTGCCTTTTGTTCATGACGCACTTGCGCCGTCATTGTGCAACAACGCATTTCATCGAGTCTCTCCAAAATGTACTCATTACGATCTTTACGTTTCTTATCCTCTTCGAGGAACGCGTCGTATTGTTTCCTTAAAGCGTTAATGCGGTCTGATTTTATTCTGCAAAAGATATTTAAAGAAAATACAATCATTTACAAGTCAATTAACTGGGAAATTATGTCAGAGGAATAGTTCATTGTAGTCGCTACAAAGTAGTAGTATATTTTTAAATTAAGAATTAAGTTAATTAACGTACTTTTTGTTGGGTTTGCCCATCTATTTTGCTAAAATTTAAAGCCAGCTACTGACAACTAATAATACCGCTTGATAGATTCGTATAGCATCAATGAAAGTAAAGCAATGCCGCGTTGACCTTTGCAAAGGTTTCAAAAGTTGCGAGCCACCATGGCTGGCGCACGATAAGCCGTTGAGACGTATTAATGCTCGTACATACTTTGAATTGTCGACTTAGAAACTTTGAATTTGTTGACTTAGAAGCTTTAATATTTTACATCTTTAAGGGACCGTAGATCTTCATTTGATACTATTTTTAACTTGTTACCTGTAACCATTCCTGAGCAAAAAGGTCTGGACAGATGGACAAGCGGATTTTTTTTTTATAATCTTCAAAAATAATATATTACTTTTTGAAAGGGTCTTCAAATAACTTAATTGATACCCTACATGATAGTCACAAATTTTTAAATTCCTAAACTAACTATTCATAACACGAATTTTGAACCTCACGTATATTTTTGATTTCCTAACTGCATATATTATCTGTGTCAATGTCTATCATAATATTTGTACGCTCGCTGAGCGTGCAATAGTCTCAGAAAAATCGTCGAATGATGATTGTCAGTTCAAATTATGAAGATTATTTTGAAAGTAAATATTTTGATGGGGCGCTGGACTGATAGCACGAGAGACTTACGGTCGCCACACATACGGTCAGTTCAACTGATCATTCCAACTGATCAGTTCAAACTAAATCTGTTAATATTTCTTTAAATAGTGGTTTTCGATGTATCGATCATTATAAATATACTAATATCGGAATTTTACGTATAAGTTTATTTATCGATATATCGAAAATCTAATATTTTAAAAAATATCAACAGTTTAGTTTGAACTGATCAGTTGGAATGATCAGTTGATCTGACCGTGTATGGCGACCATAATAGTGCAAGTACCAGCTTGACACAAAATACAACAAAAAATAATTAATTCTATTGGTAATAAATATATGCCTAGCAACCATTGATTTTATATATAATATATGTAGTAACTTAAAAATAAACTTTGTATAAATAACACATTAGTATCATAAATTCTGAACGAATACAATTATTTTTATATATCAATAAGGAATGCAATAAAGAGTGTTGATTCTACAACAAATAAATAAAAAATAATAGTTTACCTACATAAAAAGTTACAATAAATAATAGAATAAAAGTAAACGTAATGTGTAATATGAGTGGTGTCAAGCTGTCCCAGGCACGACCCTCTGCTTTCACATCCAACGCTGCGAGCACGAATCGCAAACGACCTTCGACCTTGCTTATTCACCTTGGTCACGGAAACTACAAAGTTCTATATTCTATTAAAAGGATGTATGCACATCTAACATGGCCCTATAATATGCCATGTTATAGACATAAGAACAACTTGCATTTTTATCTAGTTTATGTAAATGAATATATCTAATAGTGTGGTGGTGACTTAACAGAATCCATCACCCTATCCTATTTCATGGATATATATTATACAGTAAGGGTCGGAATAATTTGATTTGTACTACTGTGTACCTATTTGGTTTGTTTGTAGTGCTAACTTTACATTTTACATTTACAGCGAGCGCTAACCATCTGAGCTGCCGCAGCTCAGATGGTTAGCGCTGTAAATTTCACAGTACGCGAGCAGACCGGGTTCTATCCCCGCCGGCACCAATGAAATTGTTAATTGCAATTTTAAGTGCTGATTTACCACGTGCTCGGCGGTGAAGGGAAACATCGTGAGGAAACCTGCATGTCAGAGAAATAAGAAAAAAATCTTTCGAAGATATGTGAAGTTCGCCAACACGCATTGAGGCAGACAATTCCTTGCTCTAAAATCCTCTCAGAAATGAGCGGAATGCCTGTGCTCAGCAGTGGGACGTATATAGGCTGTAACTTTACTAACTTTACTACTGTATTTGGTTGTAACCATTGGCGGTGTACCTAACTCGTATTTTTTATAGGTTAAGGGTGATAAACGAACACACATTCCACCTGATGGTAAGTGGTTGCTGTGGCCCATAGACATCTACATCTATCCTCGATTACGAATCAAAATGCAGATGCGTTTTCACCTGTAAGTTTTAAGATGGAACGCCTCATTCCAATATACTCAGCTGCTATTTTACGTTGGTATTCTGTGAGAGCGTGGTCCTTTCCCAGTCAAGCCGACCCATTCGTTCTACAACTAACTATATATACCACGAAAATAGCTGCAGCATGGCTCTACCACGGAATATATAACTATGATACATTATATATTATATCCAACCAACTCAGCGGCGGAAAATATGTTAGTAGATACTAGGTATTGCACAAAATATAATGAGTTTTGCTCGAAAATGGTTTTCATAGATATTGGGTGCGCAAAGCTAAAGAAAAAACCACCCTTAGAAAACCAAAACCCCCCTCCACAAGTTATGTTTCGTTGTTGCTTAAGGGTTGGGTGCTAGTTGAATTTGAGTTCGATCCTCGCTAATACTGTGATGGTAATCGCGATTCCAAGTGCTGATTAAGTGCGGTGAGGAAAAATATCGTGAGATAATCAAGCATGTCTGAGAAATAAAAACTATTGCGAAAATGTGTAACGTTCGCAACGGTTTTCATTATTCGTAATGGAGCTATGCGATGAACTCTTTTGTTTATAACTCTCCGAATAAAATTGCAGGCTATATATCCATATTATAATTATTCCATATTTTTGTGTACCTACGAGTACTCGTACTCGTACTCGTATCTTTATGTCTAAAAATCAATTGCTATCCGTTAGTCTCGCAAAAACTCGAAAATAGCTCGACAAATTTTGATGAATTGTTTTGTATTTGAGTATATTATCCAGGGACCCGGATGTTTTAAAAACTCAATTGGACTCGGTAGGTGGCGCTCTTGTTGAGATCCAGGACTCACAAGTGCAAAGACGGGCGGATCGCTGGTATTATCTATACATATAATAAGTCAGTCTGATTGCGTATATTTGATAAAAACAGATTTTTTTATAGATCCTAGATTCCTTTGTGCCAAACTTATGTATTATATAAATTTTAGCGTCTTTGTTGTACGATAGAGCCACTCCAGTCACACTCGCACCTCATCTTATTGAGTCTGAGTACTAGAGGGTAAGGTTTTGATTGTCATAGTTTTCATATAATAATAGCGCCATCTACTGCTAAATAAAATAATAATAAGTACATAACCGGTCACATTAAACGCAATTCTATTAAATATGTACTTATTGTTGCAGCATCAAAAATTGTCAGACTAATATAGACCTGTGGCCACTGTCTTCATGTTTTATGATAATTGTCAAATTCAGCAAAATTACTAACAAAACTGTGTACACAAAACTTTGATTAAGAGAGGTCTTTAGTTGAATATGTTGTGTGTCTATTGGCATAGAAATATTTAACGGATTTCTTTTTGTATCAAGTCAGATAATATAAGCATTTAAAAATTAAATGCACCATGAGATTTTTATACATAATTGGTGGAATAGTTCGTGATACCATTGATGCAGCTTTTTTACTTTTGATGAGATTTATAAAGCAGTTTGTCATATATCACGATAGCTTTCATATTTTCAGATATAACTATTAAATTTTTTGTGACAGTCCTGGTTGCATAGCTCACATGAGTAAATTAACAAGTTCTTGTAAAAAAGTACTATAAATATCAAAGAAAGCAAATTTTAAACACGGGTTTATTTTTAGTTTAACTATGAGTAGAACCACATTGATAGAATCTTGAAAGTCATCTGTATAGGCCTGTGATCAAACCGATCTAAACATAAATTACATAGTTGGTACATAAGCAACTCAAATTAGATCCGCGCTGACTCCACTCATATTTTAACTGCAATTTGAAGTTTCGATTTAGCACGTTCTCGTGGTGAAGAAAAACATCACAGGAAATCTGCATATTATCTGAGATGTTAAAAAATATTTTTATTCATTATTATTTAATATTCTTTATTGCACACCATATAAATAATACTAATTATATATACAAAAGAAAAATATTTCGGAAATCATTTTTAGAGATATATTGGTATGTGAAGTCATCCAACGTTTGATTCTTCTTAATCAACTCCTTTTTGACCTAAAACTCGCTGTGGCCTGTGCCCAGTAGTGGGATGTATTTAGGCTGCTACTTTTTTACTTTTAACAGAGTTTTTCGCTGCTGATCATAGTCTTCCCCATTGTATGACAAATAGACCGGGTATTTGCAGTAGTATTCACGCTTGGCAAGCGGGTTGGCATCCGCATCTCTTTATTACTTTGCGCTGTTAGCAAGAAGATGCTACACGTCTTTTGTTTCAGTTTCCCTCTCTCGCCTTTTAAGACACCCACGGGATGAAATGGGGTAGTGGTTTCTTTTTTGCCACCTCTACATGGCTAATATGTTATTCTTACTCCCGTTCATCAATTGGATTTCCAATAGTTAATAAAGTTGGATATTTGCCATAGTAGCTACGCTTGGCATGCGAGTTTCCAACTGCATATTTTTAATATTTTGAGCTATGATCATCTGCTGCCCATCTTATGTAGATTTCTACTCCTGTTCACGAATTTAGTTCTTCTCACACGTTCTCCGTGAATAGAACTACATTTATGAAATTTTGAAGTCTATTCGAACGTAAAAAAATACTGGCATGTGGTGCTAATCAATATTTAATGGGACTAATATTAATAAAGACCATGAAATTAAACCATGAAATTAAAACATTAATATATCGATGGGTATATATTATATATGGATATATCGATAATTATAAATATATCAATATTGGAGTTTTATATATAAGTTTATTTATCGATATATCGAAGCTGGAACTAATCAGTTGGAACGATCAGTTGAACTGACCGTGTGTCCATAACTTTCAAAAAAATGTCGTTTTCAATCAAAGACATTTAAGTAGTAGTAGTAACAGACCGGACATCAGCAACAAAATTGTCGTCTGTAACTTTTGTCCTATAGGATATATCTCCGATTTTTGTCATT